ATTTCAGTACATTTGTATTTGTTTCCCACTCGGGTCTTTTATCAATCATTTTGGGCCAAGACTCACACAGGTCAATGTTTGTTTTAAAAGATAAATGATAGTTTTTTTTTTCTCATATAGACCTAATGTACCTTTTCCCCTAGGTAAAAACAGAACTTTGATGAGTTTGTGAGCATTTGGCCGTATAAATACTTGTATTAATTTTCAAGAACATTTTACACTTATTAACGTGTTTACAAACTGACACAAATGCCTTCGTGTTCTTTAAGAAAGAGGTAGCACATGTGGGTATTTAAAAACAACCGACACTTCAAAAATACGAGATGATGACTGCAATGGATTACGGCGGTTTGTTTGCGAGAAGCGGGCAGGTAAATATGTTTTCCTTTTTTCCATTCCTTATGGTGTTCAGCATAGTCTTCGTTTTGTTGTGAATAAGATTTAAATGGAAAGCCTATCAGACAGAAAAAAAATATCAGAACGGACATTGAAATATTCTATATCATCTGCTAGACAGCTAAGACACATAGAGGTTACGTTTGGACGAATGCTGAAAATCAAGGGTGGTAAAATAAGTATAATTAACTTTGATTAATAATGGGTTATTCTCGGTGTTCTTAAAAACGTCCAAAAATTTGCATAATATAAGGATTTTATAATAATAATAATAATAATAATAATAATAATAATAATAATAATAATAATAATATTATTATTATTATTATTATTATTATTATTAAGACGTAATCTATCAATCCTGGTAGGCTTGACTGCCTCTTTTGTTCCAAACCGTTGTTACATTATCTGGTATGTTTCACGGTTGATCTGTAGGCACGCCCTAATTCATAACTGGCCATGGGATCGATTGAATATTTTGCCCTTTTCACATAAGGTGCAACAACTTCAAGACCAACATCAACAGCAACGGTGTGTTCTGCAAACCCCTGTAAAAACGGCGGAAAATGCAAGGAGACTGGTAATAAAAGACGCAAACGGAGTAAAGACAGCTTTATCTCGGGGTTAGTCTCCGCTTTATTTAAACCGAAGGGGAATTCTGGTTCCGCAGAGAACACTGGTTATAGTTGTGAATGTCCTGCTGGCTTTGGTGGCAGCAACTGTGAAAAAAGACGTAGGTATAGTTTACGTGTTTTGTGCAAAACGATCCAAAAAGATCACATATAATTACAGGTGATAATTTCCAATGTCATTTTCAGACATTAACGAAAAAAAATAAAAAGGAGGATTAATCAACATTATGATGCAACTAAACATTTTCATGATATTTCCCACTACCCAGAATGCACGATGCCTTCAAGTCCATCTAAAACCAAAACGATTCAGGACCGAAACAACGTAGGAGAAAGCATTGTCTACAGGTGTTACTTTGGCTACACAGTTATTGCTGGGGATCTCGAGCGAAGATGTGAAGTTCAAGGATCGTCAACTAAATGGACTGGGTCGGCACCAACGTGTGTCCGTAACGGTAAATGCGCTGCTTTTGTTTAAAATCAGTAACAGTTTACTTTGATATTTATTGTGAATGGAACACCCTACATCGCAATAGAGCGTTTTAGATTGGAAACATATTTCATGCATAACAATCAAATCAAATCGATATGTTTTGGCTTCATGAACGCTTATGTGTGTGTGTGTATCTTGCAAGATTGAAATCCAGGCAGATTTAAAATCTGATTAGGAAAAGACTAATTGTGAATAGATTAATCACGTCCGTAGTAAAGCAATATTAGTTATAGAATCTATCGTTTAGTACATCTTTTATTAACTATCTTGCATATGCGGGAATACAGAACAATTTTATTTTTATTACTTTTTTGCCTCACAGGAGCTTTCCCAGGGCTGTATAACAGCCCTGTATGTATTTTGATAAACACTTTGATAAACACCAAACTTCTTACATGACGCTATGAATGAAACAGTTTCGGGGGAATGGAAAATTCTGGCACCAACGGTAAGGCAATGCCCAAGGCCTTAAGTATTAAAAACACTTGACCGGGTAGCTATAGGTGTGGCAATTCAGGTAAAACAGGAAAAGGAAGTGGTTGTGGATTTAAACATCACATTTACAATATGACTGCCATAATATGTCATGTGTAGAAAACTCAGGTAAAACAGAACAGAAATTTTAGGAAAAATACTTGTTGTCTCAGATATTTATTTATTTTGTAATTTTTTTACCAACCCAGGCTGAGAGAAATAAAAACTACATACATAAATCTAACACAAAAAAAAATGAAATCATTCACAAGTATGTTAAAATACATGTATAGCACAATGAGTAAAACAAATTGAAAGGTTTAATGAGATAATTGATCGGTTAGTAATAATAACACTACATCACAAACATTTTCCCTGAACTGTTAAAGCCTCATTAACAACCGGACGCACAATTTTTAAGATCGTGCGTCCCCTGCGAATATTGGGTGCAGTAGAATCCGTGGAGTTCGTAGAGGTAGAGGAAAGTTTGCAATGTAAAGGTGCCTTACGAGTCGCTGGGCCCACGTGAGATGTCTTTTCGATCAGGGACGCTAATTGCAAATTGCGATGACCGTGGAGATTGTACTCTTTTCTTGAGTTTTTCTTTCTACCTGAGCACATGAACGCACTCACCAATTATGAAGGGAATGCACGGCGTCACTTTTGCTTCACATTTGCCTCACACGCTTGTGATGACGTACCGACGGCGTACGTCAGTTTTGCCAACTGTGCCCCCTTCTTTCTTCTTCCCCCTACTTTTCTTCTCTTTCCCTTGCCTTTTGGAGGTATATACAGGTATAGGTAGCTGAATTGAGCATTTGTATTTTTCTGAAAAATGTTGTGCACGTTGCACAATCGACGTTAACTGTACTCCTGGCGTGGGGGCCACGGACGTGCTACGCACACCCGTCGAGCTTTCGACTTTGTGCGCTAGCTGTAAGGACGTGTGCCGTACTCAACACGCAAAGGGCACTTGCTCCTTAATTGCTTGCGACGTGCGTCTTGGACCACGCACGTCTCACTTGCGAACTTATTGTGAGGGGAGCAAGTTTACGCTTGCGGCCTCGCTCTTTGGAGATTTTTCGTAGAATCTTTTGAACATACCCAATATCCTCCGTACGCGCGAACTCCAAATTTCGCAAATAAGACTTGCGTGACAGGTGGAATTTGGAAGCAAATAGGCTGTAAGAGTCCGTACGGCTGGTTGTGACCGAGACTTGAGCTGTCATATATTTTTCCACTTTTTTGTGAAATATATGGCACAGCCTTCAAGCCCTTCTCCATCACCAACAGCTAGTGACTGTGGTTAAGAATGTAAAAGTATAATGAATAAAATGTTTGTCAAAGTACAGCAAGACTGATATGCAGCAAAAGAGGCCCCTCTGTGAGGCAAACGTGTTGTCACCCCCATATGCACGGCAGTGAATAAAAGATTTTCTTAACCATATGTTGTATAACTAAAATGGCTCTATTGAGGATGTGATTAAGATATATATATGATTTTAAAATGTGTTTAACTTTCAATCAGGCCTGAGTGGATTTAAAACCAATACAGGCAAGATTGCGATGTCACTTTTTCCTATAGACAATAGGCGGATATAACATCTGCCGGTCTGGACGTCAATCTTGCCTGTGACATATATACATGTATGGTATATTTATTTTTAGATGAATGAAAGAACATCCCAGCGAGTTTAACTGACGAAAGTCGTGTATTTTAATTATTGTTTCGTTTGGTAAAAGCAAGAGCCAGGCTAACTAGTTATTAAGTAAATATGGATACTGACGCCAAGATAATCCATATGCTATATTGTAATCTTACATATCTAATGGTCAATTTCCATCTATTCCAGAGTGCTTTAGTTCCCCGTGTCAAAATGACGGTAAATGTACAAACACTGCTGAAGGATACAAGTGTTCTTGTCCAACTGGTTTCACTGGAAGAAGATGTGAAATAAACATTAACGATTGTAATCCTAACCCATGCCTTTCAAACGGAAGATGCCTAGACGGTGTAAATAAGTACGTTTGCCTTTGTAATGTTGGTTTCACTGGGAAACACTGCCAGACAAACATTAACGAGTGTGCATCGAATCCGTGTAAACATGGCACTTGCCGCGACCTTAAGGCTGCATACGCTTGTCATTGTGAGTATGGGTTCACCGGTGTCCATTGTGAAACGAATATAAACGAGTGTGCTTCCCAACCTTGCAAAAATGGCGGCAGATGTGTCGATGGAGTGAATGGATTCCAATGTACCTGTCCAGGTGGGTTCGCAGGTGTCCATTGTGAAACAAATATAGACGAGTGTTTTTCCCAACCTTGTACAAATGGCGGAAGTTGTGTCGATGAAGTCAATGGATTTAAATGCACTTGCCCAGCTGGGTTCACTGGTGTCCAGTGTGAAACAAATATAGACGAATGTGCCTCCCAGCCTTGTGAAAATGGCGCCTTCTGCGCAGATAAAGTCAATGGATTTGCTTGTGAATGCTTATCGGGATATTCCGGTTTAACTTGCAATGTGAATGTAAATGAATGTTCCTCGAACCCGTGTCTAAAAGGACTTTGCATAGATGCAGTGAATGGATACAAATGCCTCTGTCCGGCTGGTTTCACTGGCAAACGTTGTGAAACAAACATTGATGAGTGCGCCTCTGGTCCTTGCAAAAATGGTGGCGGATGTGTTGACACAGTCAATGGATTCAAATGCACCTGCCCAGCTGGGTTTACCGGTGTCCAGTGTGAAACGAATATAGACGAATGTGCCTCTCAACCTTGCAAAAATGGCGGCTTTTGTACAGATGAAGTCAATAAATTCAAATGTGATTGTGTGGCCGGGTATACGGGTTTGACCTGTGAGACAGACGTAGACGAATGTTCTTCTACTCCTTGTAAGAACGGCGGTAAGTGCAATGATGCTGTTAATGGCTACAGTTGTACTTGCCGTGGTGGATGGACCGGTCCGTTATGTGAGGTTGCCATTGATGAGTGCTCATCTATCCCGTGTCAACACAAAGGTTTATGTAAAGATGAGATCAACGGCTATACGTGTACCTGCCAAAGAGGATACACTGGCAATAACTGCCAATTTGACATAGATGAATGCAAATCGTCACCTTGTCAAAATGGTGGTACATGTAGAGACGCCGTCAACAAATATAGCTGTACATGTTTGCCTGGATTTGCCGGTCCTACATGTGAAACCAATATAGACGAATGTGCATCTAACCCTTGCATGAATGGTGCAACGTGTATTGATGGTATGAATGAATTTACATGTGCATGCAAACCTGGATTTGCCGGTCTTACATGCCAAACCAATATAGACGAATGTGCATCTAACCCTTGTATGAATGGTGCAACGTGTATTGATGGTGTTAATGCATTTACATGCGCCTGCAAAGCTGGTTTTACCGACCCTACATGCATAACCAATATTGACGAATGTGAATCTAACCCTTGCAAGAATGGAGCAACGTGTATTGATGGTGTGGATAGTTTCACATGCTCATGCAAACCTGGCTTTACCGACCCTACTTGTGAAACCAATATCAACGAATGTGCGTCTGATCCTTGCAAGAATGGTGCAACGTGTATTGATGGTGTGAATGAATTTACATGTGGATGCACACCTGGATTTACCGACCGTACATGCCAAACCAATATTGACGAATGCGCGTCTAACCCTTGCATGAATGATGCAACATGTATTGACGGTGTGAATGGATTTACATGTGGATGCACACCTGGATTTGCTGGTCTTACATGCCAAACCAATATAGACGAATGTGCATCTAACCCTTGCAAGAATGGTGCAACGTGTATTGATGGTGTGAATGAATTTACATGCGCCTGCAAAGCTGGATTTACCGACCGTACATGCCAAACCAATATTGACGAATGTGCGTCTAACCCTTGCATGAATGATGCAACATGTATTGACGGTGTGAATGGATTTACATGTGGATGCACACCTGGATTTGCTGGTCTTACATGCCAAACCAATATAGACGAATGTGCATCTAACCCTTGCAAGAATGGTGCAACGTGTATTGATGGTGTGAATGAATTTACATGCGCCTGCAAAGCTGGATATACCGACCCAACATGTGAAACCAATATTGATGAATGTGTATCTAACCCTTGCATGAATGGTGCAACATGTATTGATGGTGTGAATGAATACACGTGTGCCTGCAAACCTGGTTTTACCGACCGCACATGCCAAACCAATATAGCGGAATGTGCGTCTAACCCTTGCATGAATGGTGCAACGTGTATTGACGGTGTGAATGGATTTACATGTGGATGCACACCTGGATTTGCTGGTCTTACATGCCAGACCAATATAGACGAATGTGCATCTAACCCTTGCATGAATGGTGCAACGTGTATTGATGGTGTGAATGAATTTACATGCGCCTGCAAAGCTGGATTTACCGACCCTACATGCATAACCAATATTGACGAATGTGCATCTAACCCTTGCAAGAATGGAGCAACGTGTATTGATGGTGTGGATAGTTTCACATGCTCATGCAAACCCGGCTTTACCGACCCTACTTGTGAAACCAATATCAACGAATGTGCGTCTGATCCTTGCATGAATGGTGCAACATGTATTGATGGTGTGAATGAATACACGTGTGCCTGCAAACCTGGTTTTACCGACCGTACATGCCAAACCAATATAGACGAATGTGCATCTAACCCTTGCAAGAATGGTGCAACGTGTATTGATGGTGTAAAAGGATTTTCATGTGCATGTATACCTGGATTTACCGGCCTTACATGTGAAACCAATATCAACGAATGCACATCTGACCCCTGTCAGAACGAAGCAACATGTGTAGATGGCGTTAACGGGTATAACTGTGTATGTCCGGAAGGGCATACTGGTTCTTTGTGTGAAATCGATATAAACGAATGCGCATCCAATCCATGTCTCAATGGAGGAATGTGTGCGGATGGCGTGAATGGGTATACATGCATGTGTCCCGCAGGGTTTTCAGGCTATAGCTGTGAAACCAACGTTGATGAGTGCAAATCAAACCCTTGCCAAAATGGCGGCAGTTGCAAAGATGCAATCAACGGATATATCTGCACCTGCCCAGCGGGATTTACAGGACCAAACTGCGAGACTGATATCTACGAGTGTACCCCTAATCCGTGTAAGAATGGTCTTTGTTTCGATGGTATAAACAGTTTCACTTGTATGTGTGGTTCTGGTTTTGCTGGTCCCACCTGCGAAATCAACATTAACGAATGTGCCTCCAACCCTTGTAAGAACGGCGCAACTTGCACCGACGATATTGACAGGTACAAATGCAATTGTTTAGCGGGATATATTGGTTTGCATTGTGAATCCAATGTCGATGAATGTTCATCTAATCCCTGTGGTAGCGGAGGTACCTGCTTGGATAGTGTAAACGGATACACGTGCACATGTCCAGTTGGTTATACAGGGACTAACTGCCAGACAAACGTCGATGAATGTGCGTCTAACCCCTGTGGTAGCGGGGGAACCTGCTTGGATGGTGTAAACGGATACAAGTGTAACTGTGAAGTTGGTTATACAGGGACTAACTGCCAGACAAACGTCGATGAATGCTCATCTAATCCCTGTGGCAATGGGGGAACCTGCTTGGATGATGTAAACGGATACAAGTGTAACTGTCAAGTTGGTTATACAGGGACTAACTGCCAGACAAACGTCGATGAATGTGCATCTAACCCCTGCAGCAAGGGACTATGTCTCGACGGAATCGACAGTTTTTCTTGTCTCTGTCAGGCTGGATATGCGGGACCAACCTGCCTGATAGACGTTGATGAATGTTCCTCCAACCCGTGCTTAAATGATGGTACTTGTGTGGATAAGGTGGACGGATACACCTGTATTTGCCCTTCTGGTTACAGTGGAGACACGTGTGGAGTATTACCAACTACCAGTACCACCACGACTCTGCCCACCACGACGGTTGCAAAGGGTGAGTATATATGCATTGGCTAAAGGAGTACACGTACATTTTCTTCAAGTTGCAGAAAATTAATTGTATAAAATGGATTGGGGATCACGATTAACCTACTTTTTGTATCAATTAAAATTTTAAGCTAGCTGGAAAAACATTAAATATGTAGGAAATGTACGTTATTTAAATGAGCATTTCATTCTTCTAACTTCGTGAAGATAATGGAACTGGGAACGAGCTCAAAGTGAATACTTTGATTCATAAAGTAAAACCATACTGAGATTATGAGGAAATAAAGCTAATACTGGATCTTACGTCGAAACGTAGATCACGACGTTTTGACCTTATTGCATGGTCTTCTACTAGGTCAAGGCCAAAACGTCACCACGCATCACCGGTAACAACTGTACATCAGTTGAACCGAAGACATTGCCAGTACTACATCTAATTATTTTCTCATTATCTTATTGGCAATGAGCTGTTATAAATAATTAATGAGACATTTAGCATTACGTGTATTTATTATGTTTTCAAGATCCTTGCAATCCGAACCCTTGTCCAGAAAAAGAACCCGGACAACCAATTATGTGTCAACCCTCTAACGGGGGCTATGAATGTATTCGACCAAATGGTGAGTGTTAGAAAACCACATGGGTACTGGGAATATTTTTCAAACAAATGAAGTACTTGTCAATCTTAACTATTTATCATTGCGATGTACGAATGTAAGACGACATGATAGTGCTGTCCTTAGCAGCCATTTTAGTAACATTTTCGCATGATTTAAATCATTCACCTAAATGCCTCGTGACTGAAGAATGGTGCAACAAACACTCCACAAAGATTAAGATATTTTCTATTTCCTCTTTTTTTTTTTTTTTTTTTTTTNGATGATAATTTGTATGATTTTCCATTAAAAAAGTGTATTATCATAAAATATTAAAAAGAAAAAACGCAATTTTTGTGAAATAAGATAAAATCAAAACCGTTGTGTTTACACTTTGGATGTTTCACTGAAACTCACTGAAGATGGATGGCATTCCAGGTGCAGCACTGATTGGAGAGCAGTTGGAATCCCATCCGGGTGTAAACTGAATCCTCCCAAACCCGGCGAATGCTGTGAAACGCTGAATTGCGATCAGCTTACACCCCCGCCTTAGACACGGAAAGACAATTCGATCAATTGACAGCTTTGTTGGAAATTACATTTAGATGGAATAAAAGTTAATTGTGAAGGGCAGTTATAAGAACGAGTGTCGTTTCGATAGCATTTAAGTCATAATAATATGTGCTTATAAGGCTGTGAAATGACCGGCCGGCGGGTGTATTTTGATATCTGTGTCTTTAAAGGTAAATTATAAGAACATCTTTACGCATTTTAAATTATTTCGGATATCAGTAGGAAAAAATAAAGTCTTGATTTCTTGGCCTTTGTAGAAATTGTACTCGCGTAAATTCACATTGCATGCAAAGCATGATTTTTTTTTTTTTTTTTTTTTTTTTTTTTTTTTTTTTT